TTTATTGTTAATTTATTTCACAGTAATTTAATTTTGAAGAATACAGCGTGTCAAGTTTTACGGCATTTCCCGATTTTCCAGGAAAGTGAAAATGTGCTAGATGTCATTTCGACGAGTTACCCGAATTAAAAAAAAGAACTAATAGTAAAATTATAAATTGAACTTGAAACCTTCAAGAATCTATATCACTTTTGTAAAATTTTCTATGAGTATATCTTAGGCAAGAACAGTTGTTTAACTAATTTGTTTCTGGGATAAATAATTAGCTTTTTACTCAAAGGTGAAATTTAGCAAAATATTAACACCAATGATGTCCTATTCTCACAAATTTTCAGCCATTTACAATTGTTATTGCAATAGTTATAAGCATTCATTCAATATTGCTAAAAAGCTCCGTATTTACCTTACTAGTTTATCGATTTTAATTCTTAAAAAATAAAATTGAAGGTTTTTTTATGCTCAAAAATCTTAAGTTTACCGATTATTTACAAAATTTAATTTGAACGTTATACAAGCAAAGCACTGAGTTTTGAGCTTCTCCCATTGTTTATAAAAAACAACGCATATCTGGCTGTATCTTTTTATATATTTTTCATTTGAAACTTTCAGATATCTGCCAAGATTTTTTACACGAAACACCTATTTTTTTCTCTGGAGCCTGGACTTATATTGGGCTCGTTCTCTTACTGGAGACTTCGTTTAACATCGTATTAAAAGAAATACCAGATTTTCTCAAACTAACCATGCAAAAAAGCGTCGTCAAGGTACATCTATTTTTGCCTTATAAACAATATAATATAAACACCCGGTACAAATGATAAACACGATTCAAATAAGCCCATTTTGACGAAATTTCCAAGCTGTTAAAGATGACAAAATATCTCGTAGCTCCAGAAGTAGGTAACAATTCAGATTTCTTCCTTTGAACATGACTTTCGGAACATATTAAAATATACCAGGTACTCAATTTAAAAAAATGTATGCCTTGCCCTGTAGAAAGCGGCATACTTTCCAAGTAAAGGAGCATATACTCGTAATTGCCTACAATTTTTGTCACTAATTTTTCTTGATATCATTTAAAATAACGGTAATGTCGACTGATTACATACTAAAAACTCACCCTGCATGTGCAGAAAACAAAACAAAACTAATATAAAACGGACGGTATGTTGGTCTATATTTTTCTTTTTTATTATAATTTGTAATTGTTTACCTTTTTGTGCAACTTCAAAAAAAATTATATTTGTATATGGTTGTAACTCGATTACGTTAAAATTATGTAAATGTCTGGAAAATACTGAGTTAATCTAAATGCCTTGCTCAGTTATTTAGAGCAAAGGACAAGGCTTAATAAAAAATAAATATAACTCCCTCACAACACATTCAAAAGATCCAGAACTTCGTTTCTCCATGAAAAAATTAAACAATCTGAAAAGTAAGAAGCATATTAGCTTAGCTCACTTATCGAGTAATGTATATTAGCAAAAAACACTAAGACTTTGCTCCACTTTATACTAAAAATGTATATAGATGATATTTAGATGAACAGTAGACCCCACAAAAACTATTTTTATTTTTACATATTACAAGAGGGCAAGAATTCCAATAAACTTTGATATATTGGATATGAATATTATTCCGAACAAAAAATGGTATCGCATTTCAATATTTGAAGAGGCACAGCAGCAGTAGGCCGCAAAAAAGTCCCAGGCAACTGTGGACGCCAAAAAATGGCATCAAGTTGGTTGACTGCACTTCCCACGCAAAAGTTAAACCTACGATTACTTAGCACCGTTGGCTTGTCTGCGGCGTTGCAGACCCAGGATGACAGCTATGAACCCCTTACATTTGATAAATGTATCACTGAATCGCAACTTCGCCATGGGCGGCGGCCTAATTTTTTACTCTTACCATCCAGATTTTTGGAAAGCTAGATTGGCGTTTGTTTTTGATATTGTATGCAGACAAAATTGTATAGCATTTTCTTGAGAAAAACATGCATGAAGTTGAAATGACCCGATAAGTGTATTCAAAATTCCATATGCATACAGGGTGTTTCAGTTTATTGTTGCATAACTTTGAGATTCGATAGAACTTTTAAAATTAATGCATAAAGTATATATAAACATGGGTCGAAAAATGCGTGGCTTCCGAAATACAGGGTGTTTAAATTTACTTTCTAAAATAGTTGTTTTTAAATATTTCGAACAATATTTGATGTATAACAGTGAAAATTGGTATACGAGGGTTTTTTGGTACGACAAAATGAACCATGGGCATAGTTTTACTGTAGCCGCTAGAGGGCACTCTCTACTGTACCTGTAGTGTATTAAAATGACCGAAATTTTTTTCTTAGTGCAATTTTTTGCTTTTTTAATAAAAAAACTGATTCTCCGCACCTTTCAACATAAAAAGCTCTCCTGTGAGTTTTCGTTATAGTTAGCCGTTTTGAGATATTTGAATAATGCTATACCACGTTCGATCATTCGTAGATGTAAATTGTGTATTGAACAATTGGGTTTACATTTCGAGCAACTACTTTAGATTTTGTATGTTTGTCTTAACTATCCAATAGCATTTTAGTTGTAAATAATTAATTTAATTTGTAAAAAATAATATTGGGAAATTAAACAAATTAATATTCTGTTTTTTGTGTTTATTTAGTGTTAGGAATTATTGCTGTGTTTAAAAGCACAATCTAAACGATCATCTTAATTACTTGTAATGCCAAAATCGAAAATGTAAAAAAAAATATTATTTTCCCATAAATAATTAAAAATGCATCGAACCTTAAAAATCGAAATATCTCAAAAACGGCGAACTATAACGAAAACTTACAAGAGAGCTTTTTTATGCTGAAAAGTGCGAAGAATATTTTTTTTTTCAAAAAGCAAAAAATTGCACTAAGAAAAAAATTTCGGTCATTTTAATACACTACAGGTACAGTAGAGAGCGCCCTCTAGCGGCTACAGTAAAACTATGCCCATGGTTCATTTTGCCGTACCAAAAAACCCTTGTATACCAATTTTCACTGTTATACATCAAATATTGTTCGAAATATTTTAAAAAAAACTATTTTAGAAAGTAAATTTAAACACCCTGTATTTCGGAAGCCACGCATTTTTCGACCCATGTTTATATAGACTTTATGCATTAATTTTAAAAGTTCTATCGAATCTTAAAGTTATGCAACAATAAACTGAAACACCCTGTATATTGTATCTGCTGTTTCGACCTGTACATAGTTATACCAATGATTACTGATGGTTTATCAACTGATATGCCCGCTACCCAGAACATCCAAAATTAGAGACTCATCTAGGAAGAAAGATATCAACGACTGGGTGAGGCCGATACTTTCAGAAAATTTGCTAAAAAGTGGTTTATCTCAAAACAGTTTGGCGGAGAAGTATTGTAATCGCGAAAATTTTCGAAAATGAGGTATGTCTTTTGGATGTTATGTGACATGTCCATCACGAAAAACCATGTCACTCATTTCCGTTGGTCTGCCTGTCTGTCGATGACATTTTTGCACAATGTTGCTACTATGCCAAGGACGCGAAAGCTTTGTAGTTTTTGAAAATCTGTCCAGTGGCGGCGGAGAAAAACCCCAGTAATTCTGGACACATATTAGACATATGTCACTCAACATAGATACATGTATCCTTAAAACTTAGAAATATCTCCTACTGTTGAGTGCGACGTGGTCTCCGGGATGGACAAGCGTCGTCGTCGGTGGTCGAACGTTACAGTCGGCAATCGCTTTCACACTACACTGGGCTGCAGCGTTGCCAGATGTATCATATAGAATTCCCCCAGAACAAGTACAAAAATCCCCCAGAATGAATTAAGATTATTTTTTAAACTTCTTAGAACAACTTGTTTATTGATCCACGGTGTGTAATCGTCTAGTTCTTTTTCCAGAAACGCTCGTGTGAGACAAAGATAGCTAAATCAACCGGTCAGCTCACAACTTATTGTTTTTCTGAGTTCTATGACTACGAATGCATGTCTAGCAAGCTACAATTGACATAAAAGTGTAGAGATGGGACAGCGTAGATGTTTTGTGGAGATGGGTGCGACATGGGGAAAGGAAAAGCTATAGAAAGATAAAATTATTTAGCAGTGGACAATTTTTCATAGTTAGTGGACAATTTTCCATAGTTAAAGACAGAATGAAATACACCGAAAAACCCCCCAATATGGCAACCATGGTCGATATCATATGTATTATGTGGTTAGATCTACAACGTTCCTAAATCTTTACTACGACTTTTCTTGTAACCGTGTATACTTGAGCAATGTACGTAAAATGACAAGATCGATCTTCACCATCCAGGTATGATGATGAAAATGCATGTCTATAACAAAGCCATGTATAGTGGGAATATGCACTATAAATTAAGTAAGTAGGATGTCCTGTGAAATGCATTGCCTTTATCCAATTAATGTCTATCTCTAATAAGTAATTTCAATAATGGAACCTTGCTATTAGGCGTATTGAAGTAGCTACTCTAGCTTTAACAAGATCTCACTTTTACTTCCCACGATTTCTGGCGAGGAAGTATTGTAATCGCGAAAAACCGCTCATTTTCGTCAGTCTGTCTGTCGATTTGTCTGTCTCAAATCCTTGGCCCGTCTATTAATTGAAACGGTGAGTGGAAAAACGATATAACTCCCAAAAAAGTCATTTTAAACCAAGATAGCCAAAATGTTCTTCAACACAGGATCCTTCTACTGAGCTAAAAAAGCGTACAATATTCACTACGTGCACGCTCCCACGAAGCGGTCAGATTTGGCATTGAGTGGAATAACGATATAACTCCCGCTTTTATACTGATTTTCCACTCAACCATGCGCATGGCGCATGTCGCGCAGTCAGCTGATTTTGGACGGTTTGTCAGTAAGCATTCAGCTCGATCGTACCCTGTTTGCAGGTTATGTTAACATTTTCGCGTTTCCTCTTATATTTTACGTGATTAAAATGTCTAGCAGTGAAAGTTCGGATACGGAAATGATCGATCGTAAAAGAAAAAAAAGATGTTCTGAAACATGGAAGAGAAATGAAAGGAAGAAAGCTCGTCTTCTTGGAAGCCAATACACAACTAAAACTGGGAAAATAGTCAACAAAAGGGAGGTTAAAGCAGATTGCACGTAAGCTTTATTACTATAAAATAACACAATCGTTTGTAACAATATTATATTGTTTTTTAGATGTAAAAACAAATGCATGACTAAATTTACGATGGAGGAAAAAGAAGCTGTTTTGAGGGCATTATACGAGAAAGGTTCAAAAACGAACAAGATGTCTATTTACATGGGTTAATGGAATGTAAACCAGTCGTTAGGAAGCGACCAAATAAAGAGGCCAGAGAAAAACTCAGGACAGCGAGTTTTTCTTATTACATACGAAAACCTTTAGAGAAACAACGTGTTTGCAAAACAGCCTTTCTTAATCTACATTCAATCTCGAACTCTAGACTACAACGACTAAATAGATTGTTCGTGTCTCAGAGTTCATCTAGAGATTTACGTGGTACGCATAATAATCGACCTCATACATTACAACCTCAGGTTACTTCCAAAATCCATCATCACATTGAATCGTTTCCACGAAGGACTTCTCACTACAGCTCTAAAGAAATTCACTATCTTGATTCAAATCTTAACGTTAAGACTAAGTATAATCTCTTTGTAAAATTACACCCGGAATTAACAAAGATAGTTAAATATGAATTTTACTTAAAATTCTTTAAAGAGAATTTTGCATTAAAATTCGGGAGGCCTCAAGTAGATGTATGTGGACAATGCGAGGAATTAACAACAAAACTTAAGGATTCAAATTTAAACGACAACGCTAAGAGAGTTGCTGCTTGCCGAATTAATGGTTCATAAGCGTCGAGCTAAAAAATTTTACTCAAAGCTAAAGGAAGTCACTGATCTGTGCCGTGAACGAGAAGATGTTGGTGGAATAGTTTTTGACTATATTCAAAATATGCCTCTGCCTGTTATACCTGTCCAGGAAATGTTTTATTACAGGCAACTATGGCTATATGGGTTTGAAATACACGATTTAAAAAATAATACTGGACATTTTTATACATACCATGAGGGACAAGCCGCGAAGGGACCCAATGAGGTATGCACGTTTATCAATGATTATGTGCAGAAAATGCCAGCGGAGATTCAAGAGCTGCACATATTTTCGGATGGTTGCCCGGGCCAAAACCGGAATAATACCGTAATAAGATATTTATTAGCACTTGCAGCTTCAAAAAGATTTCGCAAAATTTATCACTACTTCCCATTGCGCGGTCACTCTTTTTTACCGTGCGACAGGGACTTCGGATGTCTTAAGAGAGTTATAAGAAAACATGATCGTATATATCTTCCAGAAGATTATGAAAACATGATGCTCTCTTGCCGCAAAGTAAAGCCGTTTACTGTATCAACAATATGTTATAAAGATATAACTGATTACAAAACTTGGTGGCCCAAATATTACAAAAAAACTTGTCAATCTTCAGATGAATTAAAATCCAAATTTACACTATCAAATTACAGGCAGTTTACTTATGATAGTTCTACACCTGGATACCTCATCACTAGCGATTATATCGGAGGATTTGTGTCGCAATGTTTTAAATTAATCAAACCTAAAGCCATGCCAACTTTACCAACTAACCCTGCATATTCAAAGACATTACCAATAAATATAAAGAAAATTGATAATCTAAAAAAAGTCCTGCAATATATGTCGTCAGAAATATTGGAATTCTATTACCATATTACTTCATGGGAAACCACCAACGCTGAATGTGAGGCAACTGAGGCGGACTAATAAAACTATTTTTATTATATTATAGTATATCATAAATATGTTCTTTTCATCGTATCTAAGTGTATTTAGGTTAAATGTACATTAAATAATAAAAAGCATTCTAATTTGTAGTTTTATTTACTAATTAAATTCATGATTTGAGGCTTGTTTAAAGTTGGGCGGAAAAACCGTATAACTCCTAGTGACGTTTTGACATGTATATTATTTATTACAAAAAATAATTGATAATTCACTTTACATTCGTTCAGAGAACTTAATTGTCTACAAACTTGCAATGTATATATTTCTTGTATATTATATAGTTTTCAAACAAAACACTTTTTTGTGATTATCTCAAATTCGTATTTTTGGACTTATATCGTTATTACACTCACCGATTCAATTGGAAAGTACTGTTCGGATTTGAATGAAATTTTCACACAAGGTTACTACTATGATAAGGACCAAAAAGCTTTTAAGATTTTAAAAATAGGTCCAATATCGGTCAAAATACTATTTTTGACGTTTCAGAGGCTTCTGGACGTTTACGAAATTTTTTTATAGGGGTTAAAATTAGAGGTTGGGTTGTAGGAGGTGAGGGAGAGTATATCTCAATTTTTTGTCGATGGTGTATTCATACGCTAATTCTACGCGCCTATCAAACATATACTAAGTGACATATAAATCCGAACACCCAGATTAAATAGTTTTATTTTAATAAAATTTTGTATAAGTACTTAATGAAGCATAATAAGTAAATTTCAAAATGATTGCACTGCTTTAAAGCCCTTTGACCTTTAATAATGTGTGGATGCACCCTGATCTGCTACGCATTCTCCAACGCGCCTAGGCATGCTTCTGATCAGGTGGTCAATGTCCTCCTGTGGTATCTCATTCCAGGCAACCACCAACTCCTCTCGAAGTGCTTCTAGAGTCTGAGGAGGACGTTGCAAATTGAGCAATCTCCTACCCATCATATCCCACACGTGCTCAATTGAGGATAAGTCGGGAGATCTTGGTGGCCATGGTAATAATGTGACATCATTATGTTGAAAGAAGTCTATTCTGACTCTTGCAACATGTGGTCGGGCATTATCTTGTTGGAAAGTTGGATCTGCCAGATAGGGTAAAAGATGGGGTTCTAGAACTTCGTGGATATAACGCTGCGCGTTCATGTTACCTCGGATGAAGATTAAAGGTGACCTGGAACCATAAGCTATAGCACCCCAAACCATAACTTCAACAGTGTGATGAACATGTCTTTCAACAAAAAACTGTGGATTCCTCCTTTCACCACGTCGCCTAACCCTTACACCGACGTAATCGCCTTGAGTGGTGCAGACAACGGTCACTCTGGGATCAGGAATGGAACAGTATTGTCTTTAGTGACGAGTCTCGATTTTGTTTAGGCATGCACGATGGTCGTGCCAGGGTTAGAAGGCGACGTGGTGAAAGGAGGAATCCACAGTTTTTTGTTGAAAGACATGTTCATCACACTGTTGGAGTTATGGTTTGGGGTGCTATAGCTTATGGTTCCAGGTCACCTTTAATCTTCATCAGAGATAACATGAACGCGCAGCGTTATATTCACGAAGTAATAGAACCCCATCTTTTACCCTATCTTGACACCCTGGCAGATCCAACTTTCCAACAAGATAATGCCCGACCACATGTTGTAAGAGTCACAATAGACTTCTTTCAATATAATGATGTCACATTGTTACCATGGCCACCAAGATCTCCCGACTTATCCCCAATTGAGCACGTGTGGGATATGATGGGTAGGAGATTGCTCAATTCGCAACGTCCTCCTCAGACTCTAGAAGCACTTCGAGAGGAGTTGGTGGTTGCCTGGAATGAGATACCACAGGAGGACATTGACCACCTGATCAGAAGCATGCCTAGGCGCGTTGGAGAATGCGTAGCACATCAGGGTGCATCCACACATTATTAAAGGTCAAAGGGCTTTAAAGCAGTGCAATCATTTTGAAATTTTTATCATTTACTTATTATGCTTCATTAAGTACTTATACAAAATTTTATTAAAATAAAACCATTTAAACTGGGTGTTCGGATTTATATGTCACTTAGTATATTTCACAGATAGATTTCCCCGTAGATTTGGCCTTAAGAACTTTAATCAAATCAAATTAGGTCATTTATTCATGCAAGATACGATCATTGTATGAGCACATGCCATTTTGGATACATTCAAGTCCATTCAGAGACACGTTTTAAAACATTTTAAAAACTCTTAAAAAGTGAGGTCACTATTATAGTTATTTAACAGTTTAACATTTAGTATTCACCAAGCATATTACATAACACATACAACTAAGTACAATCAAAACCAGCATCTAAAATTTCTGATATCTTATATGGAGCAAGATGTAGGAGATATTGTTTAACAAGACCCTTAAAGGTATCTACAGAAATATTTTCAACATTTTCCCTCTCTTAAAACGTGGGGAAATATCAAACAGATGTGTTGCATCTATGTCACACAAAATATACTAAGTGACATATAAATCCGAACACCCAGTTTAAATGGTTTTATTTTAACAAAGTTGGTGAATGTATTTATCTTACTGTAAATGACAAGTGAAAAATTTTTCAGCCTTATCAGTTGGACATTCCGGTTTTTATACTGCTTTTTTTTAATTTACTAACGCTCTAAAAATGAATATTTCAGCCGCAGTAAAGAATCAACGTTGGCGGATTTTGGTCTTGACATCCTTTACGATCGGTTACGATGCCTAGAGTACGGATACCTGTACGATTTCGTCAACTTAGTGAGTTTGATAGGGGCCGTATAGTGGGACTTCGGGAAGCTGGACTTTCTTTTCGGGCAATTGCAGTTAGAGTGCAAAGAAGTGTAGACACTGTGGTTAGGTGTTGTCAGGCATGGCTTCGAGAAGGCCGTACGCAAAGAGCAAGGGGCACTGGACGCCGCCGTAGAACAACAGACCGTGAAAATCGCCGCCTAAGATTATTGGCCTTAAGGGACCGTTTCTCCACTACCAGGTCCATTGCAAATGAATGGTTTGCAGAACACGGAAGACCTATTGGCATGCGAAGTGTTTACCGACGAATGAGAAGTTTTGGCTTGTTTTCATACCGGCCACACTGGGTCCTCCCTTTAACTCGAGAACACCGACGTAATCGCCTTGAGTGGTGCAGACAACGGTCACTCTGGGATCAGGAATGGAACAGTATTGTCTTTAGTGACGAGTCTCGATTTTGTTTAGGCATGCACGATGGTCGTGCCAGGGTTAGAAGGCGACGTGGTGAAAGGAGGAATCCACAGTTTTTTGTTGAAAGACATGTTCATCACACTGTTGGAGTTATGGTTTGGGGTGCTATAGCTTATGGTTCCAGGTCACCTTTAATCTTCATCAGAGGTAACATGAATGCGCAGCGTTATATCCACGAAGTTCTAGAACCCCATCTTTTACCCTATCTTGACACCCTGGCAGATCCAACTTTCCAACAAGATAATGTCCGACCACATGTTGCAAGAGTCACAATAGACATCTTTCAACATAATGATGTCACATTGTTACCATGGCCACCAAGCTCTCCCGACTTATCCCCAATTGAGCACGTGTGGGATATGATGGGTAGGAGATTGCTCAATTTGCAACGTCCTCCTCAGACTCTAGGAGCACTTTGAGAGGAGTTGGTGGTTGCCTGGAATGAGATACCACAGGAGGACATTGACCACCTGATCAGAAGCATGCCTAGGCGCGTTGGAGAATGCGTAGCACATCAGGGTGCATCCACACATTATTAAAGGGCTTTAAAGCAGTGCAATCATTTTGAAATTTTTATCATTTACTTATTATGCTTCATTAAGTACTTATACAAAATTTTATTAAAATAAAACCATTTAAACTGGGTGTTCGGATTTATATGTCACTTAGTATACTTTCTCTGACCGCTGCCTAATCTCTCACTGCTACGCTACTCGAGCTGACCATTATAGTATGGTTGACATAGTCAGAAGGGCAGGGAATAACTTCTGGATCGCAACATTTATCAAATGGATGAGACTATGGTCTATATGTATGGGACTATTTGGCTCACTTGATCCATTTAATTATTTTTTTTGTGTTAGACATGTTCGTAGTTAACTTTTTTCTCATAATAATAATAATCCTTTATAAACTGATGCCAGCGTTGCGGTTCAGGGTCAACCTATTTGACGCTATTTTTTTCATAAAGCTATACAAAATGACCTCCACAGAGATTATTCTATATTTAAACGGCTATGAGGTCTGAATATCTAGTTACTGCGACTTAAAGAAGATCGGGAAGTATAAACCCTCAGTTGAATTTTCCCTGTGCAGTATTACCGCCAGGAACAGATGAAAACCCCCATTTTCTTGAGTAAATTTTTATGTAAGTGTAGCCTTCCACCGCTTACGTGCTAGGATGGAATCGACTCAAATGCCCGAGTGTCGTCGATTCAAAAGGTTGCCTATCCTGAGTACGCTTTAGGCTGAGACCGTAAGATGGGTGCTCTTGTCGCTCGACGTAAACGAAGCTTCTGGTTCAGACTTGATTCCTGCCGTTGTATTGATGACATGTGTAGCGTAGCTTGCTCCAGCTTGTTCCACTTCTGTCCTACAGCTTCCTACAGAAACCTTGCAGATGGGTAGCTGACCTCCTCTCGAGAAAGATGTCCATCGTAATTGATAGGTTCTCCTCTTCTTCCCACAAGATCAACGCGGGTGTTCCCCAGGGTTCGGTCTTGACTCCGACATTGTTCCACTGACATATCAATGACCTTTTTTCCTGTACGATCAATTTTATATACAGCTTTGCTGATGACAACACCCTACATGCAGGAATTCAGAGTGTCAAGACGATCTCTGCAGGCGAGCTAGAGAAAAGAGGACAAGCAGCGACTTCCTCTCTAACGAGAGACATGGAGATTATTACTGCTTGAGGTACCGTTTAATGCTTCAAAAAAAAAACAGTGCAGTACCTTGACTAACAGGAAGCGCCCTAGCGCTCATCCACTTTTGATCAATCGCCGAGCTCTACTGTTTTGGATGGTCGGAGTTCCAGATCACCGAGCACTTGATTTGGCTTGAACATATCTCGTCAATAGCAGCAGCTGCTGGGAAAAAGCTAGGCTATTTGTTTATGGCTAATAAGTACTTTTCTCCACACTCTGTATAAGCCATAGATATGACCAGCCTGCTGTTCGGTATATGAAAAAAGTCCAAATTCATCTTTATATTGAAAAGTTTATCCATACTTAGTCCCGAAAGTGATGAAAGAACCAGAACAAGGTTTTGTGGTCCCGGATCTTCAGTTAGGCTGCAGCGGTGGCCGCAGTAGTAGACTCTTCGGTCTCCTGATCAGTCGCCGTGAGCTGTGGTATTGTGATTGTCCGTAGGTGGAAAACGGTCTCTGACTGTCATACGGGGAGGTACCACCCGACAGATATCGTAGGAGGGGCCAGAATGTGTGCATGCTGCACGCACACGCGTTCCCTCGCTGAAGTCCCCCCTTTTCCCATGTATTCCCCTATAGCCCCACGGTACCCCATGGGTGTTTAGGCCTTAGGCCTTCGTGGTGGTTGGAGTATATAACAAAAGTTCAATATTATTCCTTAGAAATCAGGATCTCCCAGGGCTATTTCCAAATACGATATCGATATCTGTAGAACTTTTAATATACGTGGAAGCCATAGAAATAATACTTGGAAAATAATATTGACAACCAGGACGAAGAATCACGGTAGAATGAGCACAAACTTTATAATGATCGGTTGCGGAATACTATTGTTGTTTTGAACAATTGAATACAGTGCATTTCACGAGTATCCATTACGTTTTGAGGACTACCGAAGTGAACAGCTAATCAGTAAGTGACATCTTTGTATTAGTCTGTAACGTTGGTGAATCTGGTAGAGCTCAGGACCGTATACAGGGCTTTCGTTCACATACGAGGGATGTCGTTTAAGTTTTGCATATGGAAATAAAACAACACGGTAGGTAGTTTTAAATGACTATTGTTTTTCGAAGTATTCTCCACGAAGATTAATATACATCTGCATCCGCTCGAACCAATTTTCGACGCACTTATTCCACTCGTTTGCTGGCAGATCCAAAACGGCATTTTCGAATCCGTCAACTGCTTCTTCTGGTGACTGGAACCTTTGACCACGCAGTCTGTTTTCAATTTTCGGGAAAGTAAAGAAATCGTTAGGACTTAGATGGAGGATGGTCCAATAATTCCACGTTTTCTTCCGTTGAATACTGCCTTGTTTTTTGGGCTGTGTGTGAGCTTGCATTGTCTTGGTGGAGGATGATTATTCTTTCGGGGTTGATTTTTCGAAGGTCGGTGATGACTTTTGGCAAACAAATGGTGGTATACCAATCCGCAGTAACAGTTCTTTGCTCATTTAAAGGAATTGTTACAATATGACCCCCTTTTGACACAAATGTCGCGACTATCTTTTTCGAAACTCTTCACCTTGGAACACCCAAACAGCCAACTGTCGTTTATTTTCTGGTTCATAACAGTAAATCCACGATTCATCACCACTAACAATGCTGTACACATTTTTTGAGTTGAAACGGTCAAGCGTTTTTTGACACCAATTGACCCTGGCTGCTTTCTGCTCTTCAGTCAACAGGTGGGGTATCCAACGAGAAACCAATTTTCTTACTCCTAATTCTTCATGTAAAATTTTTTGAGATCTTCAAGGATGCCTGAATCTCGCGATATGTCACATGTCTATCTTGAATGATGAGTTTGCGGACAGCATCGACATTTTCCTGGATGACTGCCGTTTTTGGTGCACCAACCGTGGAATCGTCGCTAAGACTCGTTTGTATTCTCCATACCAACGGAAAATTGTCGACTGATGTGGCGCTTCATTGCCGGTACAGTACAGTACCGTACAGACAGTAACTCAGCAAGGCATTCTTGTTGCGATAATTGTCTCTGAAAGTTGTAATAAATTATGGCGCGAAAATGTTCTCGGTTGAGTTCCATTTTTCTAATGACTTGGTGGCACTTAAAAATTCACTGTAGTGAGAACACTGCACGTGTTGTTGTGAAACTTTGAATTAAATTTTACTAAAGAGTGAGGTTAAGATTCAGTACTGACGTTCGATCCGCGCGGCCTCCTATGTTTCTACATGCAAAACTTAAGGGACATCCCTCGTATATAGATTCTTTTACTGACAAATTTTGATAAAATATACGGAGTACGTATAGAAAAATGTACTAGAAAATTATTATAGCACATATAGGATTTATTCATGTTAATTTCTTAGCGTCTGCCAAATTGTTCCCCCAAATTTCTTCATGTAAGTATTCAGTTCCTGACCCATCAAAGCCTTTTCTTTTATTTTTTCACCTGTCCACGTGACACATAACCTTTTCGCTAACATACAACTTAAATCTGATTTGAAAAGAGCACACCTACCATTCAAAAGCCTCTTTATGGTCTCGCTGGTTTATTTTTCACTCTTCACTCAAGACGAGAGTCACGGAACAGAGATTGACATCGGGCTACACTGTCATATTTTTACCTCGTCCATGGAAAACAATTGACTGATTTACATTGCCAGGGAAGGACGCAACGTCACTGATATTTAACACAATGATAGCTTATCGACAAATATGATCTCTATGTTCCTGTTGGATTATGATGAAATGAAATATTTTTTGAGAAAATACAATCTTGTATCGATAGTATTCTTATCAATTTACACTGCAACTGACCCCAAAAAGTCGAAAAGAAATCTAGAGCTAGATTTAATAATCTGTGTATATCCCAGGGTTTTTCGAGTCGCTGACAGCTATTATTAGAATGATTGAATTTTCAAATTAGCGGAACCAGTATACTTCATTCGGTCAATTAAATAATAAATAAATAGCGTTTATTGCCCAACAGTTAAGGAAACCGTCATTTATAGGACAATCCTAAGAAAATGTAATCAAACTGACAAATATAGAAAACATACAAAAATCGGGTGATTCTATCTAAACGAAAAAACAAACAAGAAAAAATAGCAGAACACATATTTCACTTAAGTGAGAAACGTATCATAAATTGTTTAAGTAATTCCTAGCTATCACAATAATTAGATATGGCATTAAAAGTTTCACGCCTTACATAAAAATGTAAAAATAAATTTTTGCGAGCCCTCCAACAATAAAAGGTTTTAACGATGCGATAGATGTGACATTAAAGTTTAGTTGAGCTGCAATCTCCTTAACATCAATTTGATGGTGCAGAAGTTTATGTAAGAAAATAATTGCCGCAATTTCTTCTCAGCTCTAAAGACTGCATTTGAAACCTAGACAATAACGAACTTTCAGATATACCCTGCTCAGGATATCCACCGTTAACCTTGGAAGATAAAAATTTGAGAAACCATCTCTGAAGATACTCGAGAGGATCAATGTTGCAGTTGTAAATTGGGTTCCAAATTAAGGATGCATATTCTAATTTCGATCTAATATATACAAAACTAACAGTGACTCCAAGCTTCTGCAGTTTCTTACAGACCGTACGCCCGTGAATCTTCACTCACCTTTTGAGCTATGTGGAGTGAAAAATTAAGTTTATGGTCAACACTATACCCAAATCCTCAATTAAGTCACAACGATTTATGTAAACATCCCTAGTCTTATTAAATATATATTACATTAAATTTACAAACACGTTTTTCTAGAAAAGACGACTAAACGCTTGTAAAAATAAATTATTTTCGTAGCAGCAAGCTACTAAAGCATTAATATCCCGCTGAAGTGCAATACAATCAGTATCAGAATCAATAATCCTGAATAATTCCAAATCATCTGCAAAGAAGAGTTTATTACAGCTTAAATATTGCACAATATCATCAATAAATAAGGTTAACAATAAAGGACCAAGGTTTGAACCCTGAGACACTCCCGATTTAGTTACATACTGGTACGACATGAAGCCATTGACAGTAACATTGCTTCCTTTCAGAAAGATAACTTCCAATGAGTACTAAATCTGATACAGCCCTATCGAACCCTGTGGCAAAATCAGTATATATATATAAGAGAGAGGTATTATAACAAAAACTAGGAAAATAATGGGCAAAATCCGCAAAATGAAGGAAAGTGGATTCGAGCAGCAAATAGGATAGGTAACCCGAGCGATACGTATTTCTGCTGATTGGCTTCATCAGGCTCGAAATGAATACACATATGTAACTACAAAAGTAGATACACATGCCCATACATCCGGATACGGGTGTAACCTGAGGAAACGAAGATGGAGAGGGGAAAACACACACACGAAGTCCACAACAAGAGCCAACCTTTGTTTTTGTTATATACCTTTCTCCGCATGATCATTTTTTCTTTTTAGATCCTTTGGGCTTGAAGTACCACAGCAGCTGGCTATAACGGGCCGCGTGGTTGTGGTTAGATGTCGCCTTGAAAATTCGAGGTCTTCTAGCCATTTTATACTACAATGTGTAGGTTGGCTCTTGTTGTGGACTTCGTGTGTGATTTTTTTCCTCTCCATCCTCGTTTCTTCAAGTTGCACCCGTATCCGGATCTATGGGCATGTGTATCTACTTTTGTAGTTACATATGTGCATTCATTTCGGGCCAGCTGAAGCCAATCAGCAGAAATACGTATCGCTCGGGTTACCTATCCTATTTTCTGATCGATTCCACTTTCCTTCTGTTTGCGGATTTTGCCCATTCTTTTCCTATTTTTGGTTATATATATATACTACATCTAGTTGACCTTAAAAATCGACACACTCAATAGCGAACTCATTAAAGATTGTTAAATTGGAGAGGAGTAGAGTGCATCAAAAATGGCTCATTTTATGAATATCAGACAGGGTGTAAATAATCCTAGCAATATTACATGTTAATTATTTTCTATGTATTTCATCATTATCATTTCAGTGTTTAAAAAATATTTAAGTAAAACCAATTCCCAATAACGTCCTTTAGGAACCTGTATTTCAATGAAGGAGGGGCGTAGGACATTTTTATAGGAGATTGCCGCAATATTTTTGTCCGAGAGATTGCCATCATTTTCTGGAACACCTTGTATATTTAGATACCTCTCTAACATGTATGTCATATCTTTAATTGAAGCCGGCTGAAATTTTCAACACTTTTTAGATTCATATCATCCGGCAGTCAATTATTTAGATGTGGCCTGGGAGCAGCTTCATAATGTTTTATATAGCAGGAGGCAATCTCTGCCCACACCGTTGGGATGGTTTTGGCAGTGAAATATTCAATAAAGGTCAGACCTGATCCCGAACATCCTAAATTCGGACCAACAACATTTCGTACGTGCCGAGTGTCACAAATAGTTCACAATGTTGCATCTCTGATTGATTATACAGGGCGATTAATACGCCATGGCAATATTTCTAGAGCATCCGACAGTAACATAAAAAGTTCATGTAAACGTAGGTCCTGAAATATCACTTAACTAAGATACAGAGTGACGTAAGGAGTAAAAAATAAACAAGGAATTGGGCTAGTACGATCTAGGACATTAATGTTCGATCTATTCTCAGGTAATTCCTAAATTATAAAAAGCAAAAATATCTCTTGCATACCCGACTTTTCTCAACAGCTGTCCTAACAGACCATTGCGACATCGAATCAATATTATTTATGAATAGAATACCTTCATTCTATAAATATCGATCAGTATAACGTCACTGATACACGAAATAAAGAACAAGAGTTTGAATGATATATGTATATAATTAGCTCCACTTCCCACGTACGGTAACTCCATGACAAGACCTTCCCTGACGTCTCTGAAATTTTAGTTCTTTGCAAGGGAAACAAAGAAAGACCAACAGTTTGATAACAAAATAACGATAAAAGGCACCAATATGGTTTAAGGCTCTATTCTATAGTACTCCTGTCTTTCTACATGTATGTAAACGTAAATCTAGCTCCATCATAACTCACTTCTCTTCGGGGCATAAACAAGAAAGGGCAAATGGAAGATAAAAGCTTTGTGCGGAACAAACGGTTTATGTTTTACTTCCCACGCCTGCTTGAGAGAAAGCAATGTAATAACAAAGAATCCCGAAAATGAGACATGTTTATTTGGATGTTATATGACATCACGAAAAAACCTGTCACTCAGTTTCGTCGGTTGTGTCTGTTTATCTGTCCACTAATCCTTGATCCGTCATAACTTGAAAGGTACCGCTCGCATTTTGATAAAATGTTCACACAATATTACTACAGTGCCAATATCGTAAAAGCTTTATAGTTTTTCAAAATCGATCCAGTGGTGGCGGAGCTACGAGGCAAAAAACGAAACAAATAGAAATTTCCAGGAAACTTTTTGTATGGGTTAAAAATCATGCATGGAAGATTTTGATGTTAGTATATTTATACGCTCCCAACCCCGGTAACTCTACGCACCTATTAGATATATTTTACACATCATAGATTTTCCCGTACATTTGTTCTTAAAACTTAAACGATAGAGAAATGTTTTAGATACTCTGATTCTGCTCTCAGGATTCACCGGCGGGCGTGCCAGTCTCGATAAGTGTCCTACTATTACAGCCGCGAGTGCCGCGGTGTCTTGTCTGACGGGTTGTGCTGTCAGGTATCGGGAAGAGATGCCAGATGTCTATGGAGTAATTGTAATTGTGTGTTTTTACAGTGAGTCTAACTTGTGTTTATGAATTGACGATGGCGTTGCGTGGAAGTGCAGAATCAATCTACTTGAGGTCATTTTTTCTTCCCAATTTTCTCAAAAATGCAATGTGTATTGAAAATGCATTCATTTATTTCATTGCGTTGATTAATTTGATCATTTAAACATTGAATATTGTCAGTATTCTGGAAGTGCTGAGTCAGTCTGCTTGACGCCATTTTATTTGTTCCAGGTTAGTTATGTTTCTGGTCCACGAGCTCGCCCGACTTGACACTGAGTAAGTACTTCCATGCAAAATATCCAGCAACTTATATTAAAATTGATGGTCTAGACTCTTGAGACAT